AGGAGTCTCAACTAGCATTCGAAACTTTCCCTACCGTGGGATTAACAAAGGTTATTACTTTTTTCGTTTAAGAAATGGTATTATGCTTTGTTTATGTGTTTGTGTATCTATCATACAGTGTCGATTTGGTTCTAGACATACTGTATAAATGGACAAATAGCTGACTCATCTTGTACAGCCACCGCATATTTGTGTGGTGTGAAAGCCAACCGCGGAACCATAGGCCTGTCCGGGGCCGTACCGCGCTATGACTGGGCCGCTTCGTTGCAGGAAGCGGCGAGACTCAGTTCTATAGCGGCGTGGGCTCTCGATGACGGACGGGGTGCCGGTAACAACCTATTTTCCTCGCTTTTCTGGAAACCTCCATAATTTATAAACAGTAATCCGTTATTATAACATGTGAGGTTTAATTCTTGTAGATATCAGATAATATTTAGATTGAATTTGGATTGCTTCAAAGAGATGTACCGAAAAAAGTATGGATTGTGTGCAAAAGGAAGTTTGTAAGAAGGTAAAGCAAATCCAAATATGATGGGTCGTAGATATGTATGGAACAGTAGCACATACACGTACTGTGGTGTCCTCTCGTAGAAAAAAGGACGTGTCGATGCAGATATTGATAACTTGCAGGTATAGTGACGACCACGCGCGTTACTCACGCCTCACCAGCCGGGGCATTCGCTAAAGTCGCTAACCGTCATTGGGAAAATAATGCAGAAATTCTTAAGGATAATCAGGATCCAAACTTGTGCTCTGACATCGCCCAACAGCTTGTGCACTCGTATCCTGGAAACCGTTTTAAAGTAAGAAATTAGTTTGCGCGCTGTTGTATAAAATATTTAATTTTTCTTTGTTTATCTTAAAATATCTGGCACAGTATCACTAATACTTTACAGGTAATATTGGGTGGAGGCAGACGAGAGTTTTTACCAATTTCTATTTTAGACGAAGAAGGTACTGCAGGTAGACGAACTGACGGCCGCAATTTAATTGAAGAATGGCAAGCGGACAAGAGGGCCCGAAATGTGACGTACAATTATGTGTGGAACCGCAATCAACTAATGAATATTATAGAACCTCTGCCAGAGTACCTATTAGGACTATTTGAAGGCGATCATCTGCCATACCATCTTGAAGCCGATTCCGCGACGGAGCCTTCACTCGCTGAGTTGACAGAGTTTGCAATTCGATCGTTAAGTCGTAATGAAAAAGGATTTTTCTTGTTTGTGGAAGGCGGACGAATCGATCATGCGCACCATGACAACCTGGCGGAACTAGCGCTAGACGAGACGCTGGAGATGAGCGCGGCCGTGGCTCGCGCCGCCGAGCTGCTCTCCGAGGACGACTCGTTAATTGTTGTGACGGCAGACCACGCACATGTCATGACGCTCAACGGCTACTCGCCGCGCGGCACCGACATCCTCGGGCCCTCCAACGATAGGGACGAGGCAGGCGTGCCTTACATGACGCTCAGCTACAGCAACGGGCCAGGCTTCAGGCCGCACATCAACGGCACACGTGCTGACGTCACGACTGAGCCTAACTACAGTAAGTAGCTTGATGGTACAGAAGACCTGACAGTTTTAATTGTTTATCGGGACCGATAAAAATGCATCCCGATACTGTGGTAATATTGTTAATAAATGCAATTTGCAGGGCGAGTCGAGTGGATGAGTCACGTAGACGTGCCGCTCGAGTCGGAAACGCACGGCGGCGAGGACGTGGCGGTGTTCGCGCGCGGGCCGCAGCACGCCATGTTCGCGGGGCTGTACGAGCAGAGCCAGCTGCCGCACCTGATGGCCTACGCCGCCTGCATCGGCCCCGGCCTGCACGCCTGCAGCGCCGCCGCTACACAACTCCTGACTCCGGCGCTCCTGGCGGCGACAACTTATTCCATACTATTAAAAATTTATATTTTATTTGAGTAAATGAAATTATAACATAAGTTAATAAGATTGTAATTTCTTAACAAGTAACTAAAAATGTATGCTATTTTTAACATATTAGATAAATATATTTAATAATAGCTATTTTATATAAAAAAAGTCTTATTTTTTACCCGAAAGACAAGAGGGCTTTCAGGGGTTTTACACGTATGGTAGTTTATTTTGCGACGGTTACGCCTAGAACCTAATCAGCATAACCGAAATGTCTGAAAATAGAAGTAAAGTTGCGACAATAAAAGCTAAAATGTTTCTAAGATCAAATTGCATACAAAAAATAAATTAGGATTTATTTGTATACTTAAATTAGGCTTATCAACATAATTACATGATTTTACATAGATTTCTTTCTTGCATTAGTAATCTAGACACAACATGACATCATGTCTACATGGGCCCGACACGTGTAGACATGATGCCACGGCCCGGTTGGGCAAAGGAAAACACCGCGGGGTTTATTGGGTAGTCCTACCAAAAATAAGGCCGGGAGTCCCACACGAAACTGTCTCCGCTGCCCCCGCAGTGCGTATATGCATTCCCCGCGTCAACAAAAAAAACATGGCATCATGTAACTACAGTTATTGATAGACACTCTTTGCTTCAATTACTTACATACATAAACAATGACTACACAAAATATCCTTATTTTACACAATACAATTTTGTAACAAATATACGCAACGAAAGTATTTTAGTTAAATTAAACAACAAATTAAGGTTAGCAAATCATTAAAGCTGCCTACTTTCATGTATCGTGTAATGTGATTCTTAACGGGCGGATCAACGGTTTTGTTAAGTTGTCCTTTACATAAACGGAATAACCAAGAAGGCAGTCTCGTGCGCACTTTGTACTGAAACCAGGCTTACGCTAACTGCCGGTAATGCCCCTGCGAGCGTAGAGCACGATTTTGGTCCGCTTCCTACTTTGACAAGAAACAAGTGTTAGCAGTCGAGTCACAACAAATATCGCTATAAACACGCAACATCTACTTTCTGATTATGTAGGTAAGAAGTACTAATTTATATTTACGTCTTGAAATTTAATATTTACCACTGAATAAAATTAAAATTATAATATTTATAATGAGGTTCGTTGAAAAGATTAGATTAGATAAAACCTATGGTAATAAGAGTTACCAAAGTTATACATCGACAGTCAGTGGGGCGGGAAAACCTTCACAATGCGGTCGCACATGCTATGTCGGTTCGTGTTTGTCCTAACGTTGGCGGCGGCCCAGGCTGACGACCGCTACCACCCCGAGCGCGTGGCAACAGCGTCTGTATCGCCCACCTCACGACCCCTGCCTGACCGTGCCGAGCTGAGTGCCCAGCACTGGGTGCAAGAGGCGCAGGCGGGCATCCGCGCCCGGCAGCGCGGCGCGCGCACCTCTACCGCGGACAGAGTAGCGCGAAACGTCGTCATGTTCCTGGGCGACGGCATGTCCGTCACCACACTAGCGGCGGCGCGCACGCTGCTCGGACAGCGCCAAGGCCGCCCCGGAGAGGAGTCTCAACTAGCATTCGAAACTTTCCCTACCGTGGGCTTGACAAAGGTTAAATTAAAAAAATTATATGCAACAACGTATGCATATAGATATGGTTTTTGTCCGCGTGGTACTTGCATATTTTAGCTCAAATGATATTTCTGTTACTAAGATAGCAAGTGCCACCATGTTTTTATGATACATAATAGTTTTACATAAAACTTTATAAAAGTTATCAATAATATCAATGACGGTTTCGTGTATTTTGTTTTCCTAAGTAAATGCAAACTAGGAAGGATTTAAGCCAAGGAAAATAAAAAGTTGAATAACGTCTTTCTTTTAACCGTCTACAAATGATTTGGCGCTCATGCTTATTCTCAATTACTGTGTAGCTCAGTTCAGTAGTTTTACTTGAGTGACGAGATATAAAATATTTTCGTTTATTTTCCAAGATAAACGGTTACTTCCGTACATCTAGCAGAGAAATCGATTTAAACTTATAGTAATTATCTTTTATTTATAGACGTACTGCGTGAACTCCCAAATCGCGG